GACCTATCATATTCGCCTCTCCTATATTTTCGTGTCGTTATCTATTTGGAACCATATATTGATTCAACACGTGTAAGAGCCCAAGATTCTCTTCACACGCGAACTCTTTATCCCTCTCACCTTTTAACCTTCTCCTGGCCCCTATGCTCTCTGGAGAATACATGTTTGAGTTGATTGATATTGCTTATGTTGCAAGTACAACCAAATATTTGAAGTTCCATTTGTAACTTTCAAGAACACCACAAATTCTTCAACCCAATGTTTTGTTTCGAATTTGATACTATACAAATCAACTTTTGTTTATTTGTTTTTTTAATAAAAGAGAAAAAAAAAGGGCTAAAAAGAAGAGAGCTTTGCATTTTGCTCAATTATTTGTTGGTTCATGTAGGATAGGATATTATGACCAGGATTAGAGGAAACTTCTCTTCTTGCACCGAAAGTGATCAAGATGAGTTTACTTTTCATGGAGTTGCTTTCTTGCCTATGTTTTCTTAAACAGCAGTATCCTTCATAATCTTTAGCAACTCAAATGCCGCAGCTTTTAAATAAATATATTACAATTATATATATATTTTTTACATATGTTACTATTTTTCCTTTTGCATAAAGATGAGAAATGTTGATATTTTTGTAGCTCTATGCTGTATAGTCTATTGTAACCCGAGCAATCTATATGTGTTCACTTCATGACTATTTTTTTGTCCATCTTTAGATTGATGGTTGATTAATGACTCGATATTAATATTATTGTTTCCTTGGGTAAGAGACAGTTTGAGTTTGAATGTATTTGAAAATGCATGCAAATAAATATTATGTGTGTGTATATATACTCACACATACATCTCTTTCAATATTAATAAAATCAAACTTATTTTAAAATCCTTAAAGGTGTCGGCATTCCTTTACCTCATTAACTCCTTAATCCTCGTTGCCTGTTTAACCTCCACCTCTACTATTGAAAACTTTATCTCTTCTTCTATGAATCCTAAAGATTATTGACTTGCACATCACTGTCAATACTTCTATCAAATTAAATAGCACAAGTTATTATGCCATGTGCAAATAGTTCTGTTCTCTAGCTTTTGTTCGTAACGTTAAAGGTTATGTATCTATTAACTTATATGTGACTGAGAATAATGCTACCAATATATTTTTTAATATATTATTTATTATTAATTAAAATTTGTAAAAATATGAGAAAGAAAAAAAAGAGTATGAGATAGTGTATTATTAATATTCTTTTTTAACTATATATAATATGAACAAAATGTGTTATTAATAACACCATATTTTTGTATTTTTACATAAAATTTTAACTTATAAAATTATGATTTTTAAAATTGAGATTTAAATATATATATATATATACAAAAAATATTTGGATAATTTATTTTAAATAAATTAAAAATAAAAAATCAAATTAAAAAATTTAATATTTTTTAAAAAACTAAACCTTGCATTAATAATAACAATAATAATAGTAATAATAATATTTATTATTATTACTATAAACAATTTCCCTAAAAATGTTATATAACATCTCTTTCACATTAAAAGTGCACGTTATTTTTTTATTTTTATAATAAAATAATAGTTTATAAATGAGAAAATGTTAGACACTTCAACTTAATAAGAAAAGTTTTTATTTTGATTATAATAATTAGTGAATAGAATAATTTATTATAAATAAATATTTTGATAAAAATTTAAATTTTATGAAAGTAATAAATTGAATTTATTTTCCTAAAAAAACTTTTATTTTTAATAAATAATAAGAAATTTTTAGATTCAATATTTTTTAGATCGAGATTAATTTGAGCTTAAAACACATATTATGTACCAATTCATTTGTGAGAGTATGTAAAAAGAATTTGTTTTGTTGAAAATGTTAATATTAGACATCAAATATGATTTTAAGAAATTAATAATAACAATATTATTTAAGAAATAAAAATATTCATTATATTTATGAATTTTTAAAATAATAAATATTTTATTTTGTAATTAAAGCTTAATTTTTTTCTTGATATCAGTTGTAAGAATTAAATTAAAAAAATTAATTCATTAATCTATTATCTCATATATTTAGTTATTATCATTATATAAAAAATATTCTTAACTAAGTTAATAAATTACATTTTTAATTATTTAAATGTTTTAGTCCTTTAAAATTTTATACCATACATTAATTTAGATTTTTTTAAAATATTTGAGATTTTGATTTCTTCAAGGTTGGTTAAAGAATAATAAGTATTAATTTGTTTATTGAAAATTATATTAAAATGTATTGAAAATCATGAAGTTCGTATCTTTTTATGGCTTTTAATAAAATATTTATATTTTTAATTCTTTAACTAGTATCCAAAAATAATTTTTGTTAGTACTTTCCTTTCTTTAAATATCAAAATGCATAAAAATAATTTTAATTTTAATTTATAACTTAATAAAATAAATTTTTAATGCCATTGAAAAAAATATTTAATGTCAAAATTAATATTAAATAAATTGTATAACAATCTATGCATTAATATATACTATAACAAAAAAAATTGGTATTATTAATAATATATTTTAAATTATTAATAATTAAAAAAATTAACATATTTTGTAAATTCGTACATCGTAATATAAAATATAATTATTATATTTCTTGTTATACCAAGATCGTGCGATGTTGTAGCACCGATGACAAACGATGTCTTCAACATGCTCAAATCTAACTCCAACACAAAAAACAACTACTTCTAGTCCTTTTATAATTTCTTTGTTTGTCTTGAATTGAAAAAAAGGGCAATCAATTATCACGAAATGGACAACAATTTATGCGAGCTTTTTAGTGTCAACAAATTAAGTGCCATTTACAATACTACCTTTCAGTTAGTTGAGATGATTGGACGAATGAACTAATCAATGTTTTCTCCCCTAATAAAAGAAAGTTGATTAGCCAATAACAACACAAGTTTCGTTAATTGTTTAGAGGTTAGACAACAAATAATCAATAACCCCTTTAACTAGACTATCTCACTGAGCTAGGATTTGTATGCCCCAAAGGTATGAGACAAAACATTAATATTATAAATAAATTAGTTTTACCCAAACAAAAATGAATCTATCAGATCAATCAGAAGTATTAGCTCAAAACTAAACACCGTAGAAATACAACTCACAAAAACAAATATCAAGTATCTTTTTAATCTATTTCATTTGCTCAGTTTCCCAAGTATTGCATAAAATATTGTGGCAGCTTAGGTTATACCAATATCAACTTAAAGATTTTCAAGTCTCAGTCCAAATTAAAAATATTACAACCTAAAATAAGTGACAGTCTAGACATTTAGTTGTTTCTCATTTTTTAGGCTTAGACTCAAGATATCAGCACATAAAGTAAAAATAAAAGTAAATATTTGATGGACAATAAAAAAAAACTTAAAAAAAGTGATTGTTTGAAAAAATATGAAGAATTGTTTTTTAAAATAAAAGGAGCGTTAAAAATTACAAATTTAAATAAAAGGAGTGATCAAATATAATTTATTTAACAATTAACACTCTTATAACGTGACACGTTATTTTAATAAAATATAAACCATTTTCAAACTGGATAAACATGAAATTTAATAAAATAATAAATATAATGAAATTATATAAATTTTTATGATAATTATGATTAACACACTATTAGTCTGCTAGAGAGAGTACAGAATGTATTGTTAGTCATTTACAAGTTATAACAAACTTAATAACATTTTTGTGGGCCAATCGTCATCTCCATCAAGTTGAACTAGGATTATTTTTATTCCAAATACTTGTAGTTTAAAAAATTAATAAAATTTGTTTATAGTTTGTCATGTTTCGTTTGTAAATATTGATTTTTTAATGAGCACACGGTAAAAATAAATAATAAATAATTATTAAAAATATAATATTTAATATTATTAATATATTATATTTTGTCCTTTTTAATAAAAAATTATTTATAAATTCTTATAATGGATCCTTAAAAATATGTTATAAAAACTTGATTAAATGTCAACATTCTTGCCTAATTTGTTACAATTAATTTTACGATAGGTTCATGATTACGTCTTCTCTTTTTCCTTTTTGAATACAATGATTCTAGTTAACTTTATACAAACAGTACAACAGTTTGAGGATGACATCACTTAAAACTCTCGTTATAAGAAACAACAACTTTGCTTTTTTGTTTATTTTGACTAATTCACGTTTGATTAAAATCGTTTCACATGTCTTCCACTCATTTGCTGCAAAATCTTCGAAAGAAATTTATCTCTACAACTGATTTTGCAACACAAGTGCATGATAGTACAAAAAAATCAAGATGAAAATTATTTTATCTTTTTGATGGGATACATATATTGTTAATGTTATTATGTCTGCATATATTGAACAGTAAACCTTGTCCTATTCTGTAATAAACGTTCATAAAAAGTTCAAGACAAATCAAATGTCCTAAAGTTCATCACATTTTCAACGCTTACAAACATCTGAAATACTCCATCATATAGCAATGTCTTAGGTGTCATGGTTGATTCAATAAATAATGCACTCGAAAGTCAAAACTTTACCATTAGATGAATTAATAGTTTTTGAGATATATAAAAAATAAATTAAAAAAAGCTGAAACAGCGCAGATCGTACTCGAGCACGTTAGGGCTTAAACGTCCGAAAACAGCACCGAAAAAGTAAAACCAAATTAAAGAGATAGGAATGAGAAAAAAAGAAACTAAAAACTAAAACAGTGTATGATTAATCAGCTTGGAACCACATGTTACGTGGGACCAAATATATCAAATAACTATCATTTGCATGAATTGTAAGGCAGTTAACGCTCACAACCAAATAGTACAATACAGCCTAATCACGCCCTCGAAAGAGTTGGTGCTTTCATATAATACACATATCATATCATAAATCTTATCAGACATGTATAATGCACTAACCCAAATAATAATAACTATAAAAAAACAAAAATAAAAGGCCAACTTCAAAAGGTTACAACAGAGTGCATAATCTCCGATGAACATTCACAAATCGCATGAGATATACATTAAGACTACAAGTTAATTAACAATTAATAATACAATTTCCGTCACTGTTCGTATTTGTAGCGCAAATTCAACATTTCCAGCCAAACCTTGAAACATATGATATAATGATAACACTAGCATTTATAATCAAGAGCGTACTAAAACGAAATAAAATTTTAATATTTTGGGGGTTAATATAAAGTATTGTTGTTATTATAATTATAATTATTATTATTATTATTTTTTAATCTACAAAATTTCAACCTCTATACAAAGGAGATCGTTCCTGAACCACTTTGGACACCTTCGATTGCCGGAAAGCCTTCATTGGGCTCGGGAAGAACCAACCCCTTCCCTTCGTTCGCGGTCTCAATTCTCCATCGCCGGAAACTGCCTTCACCGCCACCGACTTGGACCTCGTCATCACCGGCTTTCTATTCACATCCCCGTCGCGTTCCTCCGCCAACACCTTTTTCGCCTCCCACTCCTGCTCCGGCGCGCCGCCTCTATTGCTCCTTTGCGGCTTGAACATTGACCAGAAAGACCTCGCCGACCTGCTCCCGTTCAACGCCGGCGAATCCCTCGCGCTGTCGCGATCCAAATCCCTTTCGGCGCCGGAGAACCGCGACCGCGACCGGAGAAACGGAATCGCCATGGAGCGCGAGCGCCGGAGCTCTGGCTCCCGCTCGATAAGGGTGTAGACGCGGCCGACCGAGCCGACGCCGTCGCCGGCGACGGAGAATCGAGAGAAGGAGGACGAGGAGGAAGACGAGGAGGAGGAGCTGGTGGCATAACAGGAACAGGGGCGCACGTTAGCACAGTCAGGGCAAAGAGTAACGAGACGGTCACGGAGGCAGATTGGGCAAATTCCACTTCTTCGTCGCTTTGATGGATGTTTGGGACACTTCCAAACCTCTTCTTCGTCAAGGTACAACGCCATTTTCTTTCACACTGAGCTCTTTCTCTATGTTTTCCCCAGAAAAAAAAAAAGTAACTTTCCTATGCTTTTTCTTCTTCCCTTCGTTCTTCTGGTGAAGTTCTTTCTCTCTGTTTGTGTCTCTCTCTCGCTTTCAGTGTGAGGTGGGGTTTATAAAAGAGGTGAAGTTAACCATGGTTAAGGAAATATTAACTAGGGTTAAAGGGTGTTAGCGACTGTTGGGGGAGCAAAACGGCGCGTTTTGGGTAACGGTTCGGGTTTGTCCAATCCAATCCGCTTAAAGGGTTACGGCGATTTTATGGTTTGGTCCTTAATTTGGGTTGAGATTAACGGGAAAGCCATTGGTCACTTTTTAGAAAAAAGAAAAATATGTTTTGTGCGTTTTAAAAACTGAAAAGGTGAATGTGATTGTTGGGAGTGGATTTGTGTTGACACCTTCTAAGTCGTAAAAAGTAATGCAGAGTTTCAGACATATCGAGCGCATTTTCACATCTGAGATGGGACTCCAAAGCAACCCAACAACTCGGGACTGGTCCCACTCCCAACCAGATTATTACTTAATAATGCCACACTTATATTTTCCCCTTTTTCTTATATACCACTCATCACTTTTTAATCTACAGATTAACACCAAAAGAGTTTACATCAACTTTTCAATTTTTTTTTAATCATGTAAATATATTATATTAAAAACATTAATCTTTAATCAATAATTCTAAAAATGAATGTTAAAAAAATCAAAAGATTAAAGTGATAGGAATATCAATGCGTACATAATTAACAGTATTGACAAGCTGATTTAATTCAATCTAATATATATCAGAGTTGAGGTAAAAATGAAATGAAAATAAATATTATAATTGAATTAAATTAATATTTATTTTTATTTTTATGAATTAATTTAAGCCCACTCTAAACCAAATTTATATTTATGCCTAATGTGTCATATTTCAAAATCTTAAAATCCTTTTGTTTACTCCACTATTTATAGTATGAATTCAAATTCTCATGAGAAAACCTTTATTTTATGGACGATTGAAAACATATAAAAACATCAAAATCACTAGTCACATTTTAAATTGTAAAAATATTGCACCATAAAAACTTTTAAAAGCAGGCTGAGTCTCCTCTAAGGTCAAAAAAATTATTCCTATGAAATTCAATCAAGTACGTATGATACATCTCCAACAAGGTCAAAGGCATTGAATAAGCGAGTCTCTAAATTGTTTGGTTGATCATGCCACGTGCAAAGACAAGAAGAAATAGAGCCACGAAGGAGCAACATTTTTGACAAAATCTGGTTAGCTCGTCAAGTGGCACGATGCATTTTCACTTTTGCGTTATTAAATAATTTTTTGTCACCAATAATGTCAATAATTATCAACTCATTCGCAACACCAGGCAAACTTTTCAAGCCCGTAGATATTTTTCTAATTAATTCAAATGTAATATTAGAAGTCTAGAAGTAAGCCATGTACTAAAATATAATTACAGAAGGAACATGTATGAAAAGAATTAACTTTGCCCCCACATAGTGACGATGGAAATTAATTGTCAACTTGCAAGCTTTATGTTGTGCCTATTTTTCGACAAGGATTTTCTTTAAAGTTTTGTTGAGAGGTCTTTTCAGGGGGACGGTAGCGGTAAACGGTTTAATACTTTACAATTGGCCTGTTTTAATAGATCTTGTTAAATATGTCCCACTCACTACTACCTTAGCTTTCAAAGTACACTAAATCGCATGCAGATTCTAGTGGTACTTGTAGAGGACGCGTTTCTTTTGAACACATGTAATCAAACCCAAATTAACATGGTTTAAACTTTTTTTTCCCCGGTCCAACATGGCTTAAACTATTTTTTATTTTGGGAACATCACCATGGTTTAAATACTTCGAAAATAGAAGACAGCCCTTGGGGGGCCTCATACATCAAACAATGAGTATTAAAATCAAAAGAACTATATGTTTGTGGTACGTGGACAGTGCCGGAGATCACAAGAAATGAAGAAGGGTAATTACCAACGCACTCGAGAACCATGCTATCAAAATATGATTCATCGATCCCTTGTGGGTTATCAATGTATTGGTTTATACTTGAACCAAGTTCAATCACAAGATTTCTGTGGCTTATTTTATGGACAACAATACCAGGCCCTCTAAAGCAGTGCTGGAAAAATTGGATTGACAAGTTGTCTCTCAACGTGTCAAACGCAGTGCCGGATGGGTCGGTAAGTGTTCATGAAATAGTTAAAATGTCCAAGTTATGTTTATCTTTTTTTAAAAATTAGCAAGAACCCACTGAAAAAAATATACTTTTTTTAATAAATTAAAGCCAATTTATACGTATCAATGCTTGAAGATGTAATAGATACACAAAACAAATTATTGTTCATAAGTTGATTTTAACTTGTAATAAATAAATTATTTATTTTATCTTTTTATTTTTTTTATAAATACATCTACATGTTGAAAAGTTTAAATAAATTTAAAAAAGGCAAGTTTGTCGAATAAAAGGAATTGAGTTCAGTGTATCAACGTATCCTCACTCCTATTTTGCAACAATTCGTAGATTATGTTGGACTAGTTATGTGGTTCAATGGAGTAATATATGGACGCCAATCCGTAAAAGAATATTGTAAATTAAATTATTTAAATGACAAGTTAAACGTTGATATGTCAAACTCATTTTGACAGAAGGAGTTGAGGCTCGAATTATACTACACCAAAGACCCTATGGTGTTAATATCAAATAACAAATATTCTTTGAATTAGTTGGCAAGAGAAAATCAAGAAGACGCAAGCATTTTAACTTGTAAAAAAATGAAGATCTAAAATAGATTGAAGCTTTTGAAAAGGTGAAAGGTAGAGTGATGTGAAGCAAAAAAAAAATAAAAAAATAGAAGCATATATTAAATTACAATGAAAGACCCATTAATGAAATGCTAAACATATAGTTGGTTTCAAAAAAGTGGAAGAAGCCCTTTAGTCAGTATAGTCTGTAAATTCAATACGGATTTTTAAAAAAATTCAAAATATCAGTTATTAGAAGTTCAGTTCAAGAAAAAATGAGCCAAGTATTATAATCTTTGGTAGGAAGAATTAGCTGATATTAATGTATCAAAGTTATTCTTAAACTGTTTAACAACTTCTTCCCTCGATATCCACGAATTCATAATTTGATCAAAAGCTATCGTCATAAAAATTAAATATACAAAATCTCAGATGAATTTAAAACTATTTAATCTTTCATTGATATATTAAATTAGCATAATATATATTTTAAAGTACATAAAAAATTATTTGATTATATTTTTATTGTTAATTAATTTCATAAGATTTGACATAAATAATAAAATTAATATTTTTTTATAAAGTTATTGAAAAATGTAAAAGTATTAAGGCTTATGTTTATATAAATTGAGATCTGGGATTGTTATATAATATATATACTTACTTATTTTTTAAAAGTTGAATTAAAAATTTAGTCCTTAGACTTACTATTATTTTTTTATTTTAAATCTTATATTAACAAATTTTACATTTTTTTTTATCTTTACATGAAAAGCTTTTACAAAATACTTATTACCATATGTTGCTGTTATAACAGTATTAGGTTTAGTCGCTATGAACTTGATAATTATTTTTATTTAATAATTTACAGTTTATTTTAGTGTCTGTATAAAATTGAATATTTTTTTAAAATAAATTAATCACTGTTATAATATTAACTAATAGTAGTATTATTTTATAATTTTTAATCTAAAAACCAAAATGTAAATTTTTTATGTACGGATTAAATAATAAAACAACATCAAGAACTGGCCTGCTTTGGTAAATTTTGTTACTTGTGCGGGTTGTAAGCATGTCCCCCTCACAACCTTTCGAAGTACACTAAATCGCATGCAGCTGGTCCAACATGATTTAAACTTTTGTTTGGGAACATCAACATGTTTTTTCTTTCCAGAAATTGGAATATTGCATGAAGAAAACTAAGAAGCAAAGTCCATTACATCATCAGCCAAAACAGAAGACAGACTTGCGGGGGGGCCTCATAACAATGATTGTTAGAATCAAAAGAAAGCTTTGAAATTGCATAAGCTACTGTGTTTGCGGTACGTGGACAGTGCAGAAGATCACAAGAAATTAAGGTTGCCAAGTGTTGGCAGTCTAGAACATACTGTCAAAATATGATTCACATTTTGTACTCTCGTGCCAAAATTGATACAATGGCTTGAACTAACGAAACTCAATCAAAAGACTTGTGTGGATTATTATATTGACAGCAATACTGCTTGGCCCTTTAGTCCAACGTAGAACTCACCCTCTAAAACAGCGTTGGAAAAATCAGATAGACAAGTCTCGTCCTGTCCAAAGCAATGCGGGATGGGTCGGTACGTGTTTAAGAATGGGTTAAAATGTCCAAGTGTTGATTTCTTTTTTCAGAGATTAGCTTCAATTCACTGAAATAAATAAATACTAGTTTTAGTTTAGATGAATTTTCTAACAAACGCTTAAAAAAATAGAGAGATAGAATAAATTATTTTTGTACTAGTTGATATTAATTTATGCATATCAAGTTTTAAAAAAAAAGTTAAAAATTAAAAAGTTTTTAAGAAGCTGATGTTCATAAAATAATTTTAATTTATAAACGATTTTTATTTTATTTTTCTCTTAATGTCACATATTAAAAAAAAATTATCTAAACTAAAAAGTATAGATAATGTAGAAATAAAAAAAAGAAAGATAAAAGATAAAAATATGAATATATATAGAGAATAAGTTTAAGGAATAAAAGAAATTCATGAGTTTAAACTATGGCTTTGAAAATGAGAAATTAGGAATCAGGGACAAAAAAATAAATGAAAAATATTAATCTAATATTTAAAAAATAAGCAACTAAAATTGATAATTTTTTTAAAATATTATTATATAATAATCAATATCACATTTTTTAAATATTTAATACATAATTCGAAGATAATTTCGGACGAGTTATGTGGCTTAGTGGAATAAAATATGTACGCCAATCAATTAGAATGATATTATGAATTAAACAAATCTGACCTAAATGATATCAATTAGAATGATATTATGACTCGAGTTTATTCTTCCAATGCTAC